ATATATATATATATATATATATATATATATATATATATAAGCCACAAGTCAACAAGGACTCAACAGAAACGAAGATAGAATCAAAAGAAATAGTTACATAAAAAAAAAAAAATAATAATAAACTAGAAATAAATAATATATAAAAAAGTCAAAATAAGGGGAGGGGAAATATATATATATATATATATATATATATATAGCACATAAACCCTTAATATACTTTTAGTAAACTCATCTTGACAAGATAGCACGAAGAGACTTAAAATATGAAGTCAATTCCAACAATTTTTGCACAAGTACGACATCCATCAATGGTTTCCTTAACTCACAGTCTAACATATACTGCAAACTCATTATAACCTCATAACGTCGACTTGGGTCAGGCTCTACAAGAAGCAAGCTCTCCAATGAATTTGACTGTATCACCACAGCACGCTTTAAGGAAAATATTTTTTCCTTAAGCCAACATCTGTACGTTGCTGTTTCCATAAATTTTCGATACACCTCAAACATATCAATACGTTGTTTAAACATATATAAGGGTAAATCTTCATTAGAGGTTTGCTCTAACGCAGCAAATATGAGACTTTTAGGGAGAATATTGTCACTATAAAATACAGAAGGAAGTCCTTCTATAAATTTAATCTCCACTACACGGTCCAAGGGATACAAAAACTGTTTTGTTAGTTTTAAAAAAGTTTGACGGATTTCCTTGCTATAATTAGCCGGTTCTCCAACTTTATTTACAATAGTTTTTAAAGAAGGTGAAACAAAAAAATTTATTGAAAAAGGTTCCGCTGTAATACCGTCCCAAACGTGTTTTTCCGATTTTATTAAAAAATGTTTAGATGTAAACATATTCGTTTTCATATCAAATTGAAGTTTCTCTCGTTTAGGAGTTGATTTTGGTAATGTTTTGTGTGTTTGTAGTTCCACATCTCCTGGGGTACCAAGAACAAGAAAATGAGGCCATTCCATCCAATGACGAACAAAGAATGGATTGGTAGCCCCAATGAGTACTGGTAAATGACAGGCTTCATTTGGTGTCAAACAGTCAATCTCAGAATTATTAATAGTAACATATGGACGAAGAACACCTGTAAAAGAAAGAGGTGCTAAAAGAGAGCAAAGGCATAAACAAGCTGCCGAGACGTGACCTACAGAACTTCCCACAACACAAAGAGGTTCACCTGTAATTAGGAGTTCCCAAATTTTCCATAATCGGTTTAAATGTGGAAACAAAGTTGCATGAATATCAAATTCTGAAAAAATATTAACAGACTTACTATCATCAAGCATCTCTGCAGAATCTTTACTATTATGCAAAAGATATTCTGCAAGCTTTCTACAATAATCAAGTTCAGCATTTTGAATAGCAGCAATATCATGCGAAACATAATGAATGTGACGAAAATGACGAGCTATTTCAGAAACATCACAATTAATGCTATCATCTAGTTCATTAAAATTAAATATATCAATTTTTTTCTTACTGATACAACTCTCATAACTACGCATACGAACCATTTCATTTACTGTTAGAAAATCACATGACTTCCATGAAGCAACATTTAACGAAAGTTTAAGATTTTCCTTAATATAATATTCCAGACCCTCAATTGGGTTAGAACCAAGAATACAATCATCTAGACATCGCTGAATAACTTGAACATCACGGTGTGTACGTTCCAAGGATTCAAGTAACTTCCTTCTAGTAGTACACCACTTTGATTCACGACTTAATTCATCATCACGCCAGCGAGGACCACAAAGGAGACTTGTATAATAAGGTGTAGAAAATTCTCCTAATGGTTTCCCTAAAAGATGTAATCCTTTATATCGTTTCGTCGGAAGTGGAAATGGCCAAGAAGATATATCATCGTACGCGGAACCTAACATTTTCTCTGTATTATCAGAATCTAACACTTCGTTACAAATAATATCAAGCATGGACTCAAATATGCGAGGAAATGGGTAAAGAGAAAGTAAAACAATAGCTTTTTGTTGAACCCCACGTAAATTATTAGGATCTTTTCGTTGACGATAAAATGACGAACAAAAATATTCTTCATGATATACCTCCAATTTAGAGACGGATGAACGACCCAACACTTTTGCTCCAGTAGAACTAGAAGATTCAGATGAAACTCTAGAAACTTCTACTCGGGTTTTATCACATTTATTTTTATCTACTGGAAATACGAAATGATGTAAATATTTTCCTTGTCTCGTACTGTTGGTATCAGGAAAAGACAAAAATGCTAAATCAGTCTCCTGCTGTAATGAAAAAGGCAACGGTGGATACAAATGGGTAAGTGTCTGACCAAGTTCCAAATTAAAAGATACCACACCAATCGCTTCAATCCATTTAGGGGTCAATGGGGAGACCGCGTTAAGTGTTGGGAAAGATGTTAAATTAAGATTGTTATTAGAACCCAAACAACTAGAACATCGATAAGTATCTGACCCAACTCTTTTTCCTTTATTCAGAGCTACGAGTGCACCACACAAGTCACAACTTATTGCATCTACGATAGGCATAAGCTTATTATGAGAATAATTAAACTCCCTTCTAAGAAGGGGTGGGGTGGGGTTATAATGGGAGGTCCCTTTATTTTATTTTTTTCTCTTGACCTACGGGAGAGTAAGAAACAAACAAAAAAAAAAGAAGAAAAAACTTACGACCTGTGCATTATTGCAATTAAGGGGAAAGAAGATAAACACAATAAATACAAGAAATTAAAAAAAAAAAAAAGGAAGCGATGGGATGAAACAAGAATCAAAAAAAAAAAGAACTTTCAACATTGCCGAACTGGATGACAGAACTGCCACCCGTGTATCACTTTAGTGGATGTGACAATTTGGTCACAATTCCCCTAGCAGAGAAAAAAAAAGGTCTTCATTTCTTTTCCTATCAGCATACTCTTTCATTTCGTTCACAGTTGACCCAGTATCAGTCATTCGCACGTATTCCAGGGAGAAAATAATTTGTTTTTCTTTTCCTTTTTCTTTCCTTCTTTTTTTCCTGTTTCTGAGCCAATTTTCTTTTTTTTTTTTTTTTCTCCTACTTACACTTCCATTCAAGTCTATCCCTCCACATCTGTAATGGTCACCAACTGTCGTATCTCCTCTCTAAGAATTGGTGTCGTCCCTGGAGGCAAACTGATCTCTTGTTTTGGGTATTTGCGCTCATTTGGTTTATCATACCCAATTAACATCTCCGTTTTATTTTTCGTAATAACACAGAGATCCACTTGTGTTCCACTGTAAGGATCATTAAAGATACCTTTTCGGATGGCTGATGCAACAAGTTCTTTAGCCTCCTCAAGTGTCATGTTCTCCTTATATCCAGTCTCCAGTGCCGCCATAGCAGCAATGCTACCGCTTCCCATGGTTACAAACGGAAGCCGATCGGTGCTACCGTGTGGGGCAACAGTAGCCAAAAACGGCCCATCCACATCTACTCCACCAAGGACCAATGCAGCACTCACATAACCTTGATAACGGTATAAGTGTCGCTTTAACATTGTGAGTGCCTCATGCACACGTGTTTGTCGTCCAGTTTCGAGGCGGTGAAGGGTAAGATTGGCAGAGGTCATATTCGTAACAGCCTCTGTATCGGCTGCTGTGCCAGCACCACAACACATAATATTGGGTGCCATGTAGTGAATCTTCTTGCACTGTTTATCTGCCACAATACTACCCTCCGTAGCTCGGGTGTCAGCACCCAGAACTACACCATCCTTGTAAACAACACCCACAATAGTGGTACCGGTCTTGAGGGTTTTGGGAAGTTGTAAACCCTGCTTCTGAAGGTTGAGGTTTCGTTGGACGTTCGCAAAGGAAAATCCTGGCATGGAAATGATTTTTTTGTTTCTTTTCTCTTTGTTTGCTGGTTGTTGTTGATCTTATTGTTCAGTTTTGTTTTGTTTTGTTTTGTTTTTTTTTTTCGCTGTTTTGCTCTCCTTATTCTGTGTAAGGCTCTAAAGCAAAGTAAAAAAGAAAAAAAAAGAAGCAATAGGGGAAAAAATAAGTCTTTTTTTTTGATTTTTTCAATATCCCTCTTCTCCATTAAGTAAATGGTTCACCAAAGAACTCATATATATATACTTATTGAATAATATACGGGATGGTTTAAATAGAGAAATCGTTTTTTTTTTTTTTTGCATACGATTTAGTAACAGAAGAATCATGTAGTAGAAAATAATATTAAAAGGTACTAGGGAGATTTCTTGAAACTCTTGAAATCATACTTTTCCTTGGGTTGCAGATTCATCCAGTAGTCATCACCCTTCTTGTTTCTCATGTCTTGTTCAACTTCTGTATACTCTTCCTTGTCCCCTAAAAGTGGCTGGTTATCCTCACCATCCAATGCAAGTGTTGCTGGAGCATTTGGTGCAATCATATTATTAGCATCATCAAAGGTAGCAGAATCTGTTAAACGATTGCGTGGTTGATCTGGTGTCGGTCCAGCAAATCTGTAGGCATCCTGCACATGTTCTTGAATTACTGCAGCAAGTTTTTCCTTTGTTCCTTCTGTATTTGTCAAATTTAATTTCACAATACGACGGGAAACAGGATATCCAAAAAGTGGTGGCGGAACTGCCTTTAATCCTAACTTTAAACGTTCACGACCTTCAATATTTGGTTCTAAAATACTGAAAACATAGTAATGCTTATACTTGGATATTTTCCTACATTGTTTAATATGTACCAGGTCTCCCTCTACACAAGCTAAATCCTCATCGTGAGCAAAAAAACGACTGGTTCGTGCAACCCTTTGGTTAAATTTAGGATAATAAACCAAATGATTAGTGGCTACAATAGCCGTTTTTAACATACTTGTACCTACTACATACCCAATCTTATCAGAGCCCTGTCGAGGTTGATTAAATATAAGCGATGTAAGATCATAGGGCCATGGCATACGTCGTGGTCGTTGGCTAAGCACACCAGTCATAGAAACAGCCCAATGATGACGTGTTCGATTTGGAAAAGCATTGCGTTTGTATTTTTTTATAAATACTCGATGGTTTGCGTTATGTGTATTAAGTGTGCGGGCCCCACCGTACATTAGTACACATCGCTGACGATGTTCTGTCTGAAAATTCCACCAAGGAAGTGTTACAAGGGAACGACGTAACATAAATTCAGCACCAAAGAAAGTGAAGAGACAATAACAATAGTAATAATAGAAAATGGTATTATTATTGGAATAATCTCAAAATAAGCAATGTATATTGTTGGTTTTTGTTCTTTTTTTTTTCTTTTGGGTCTTTCTAAAAAGAAAAGAAAAAAAAAATTATTCAAAAAGCCACACACAAACACACAGAATGTTTATGAGCGTGGCTTTCCTTCTGCACTACATAAAATATTAATAAAAGAAAAGAAAAAAAAAAAAAAAAGCAAAGAAGAAAAATTTGCATCTCAAAAATAAAAATAAAAAAATAAAATAAAATAGAATAGAATAGAAAAAAAAAATTCCACACATGGTCTATATCCATACTACCCAAACAAATGAAAAGTAAGACACGTACACTTATATTTATATTTGTATACATATATGTATACATACGTACAAATAAAATGTGCAACGCATCAGGTTTCATTAGAAGAGAATTAAGGGTATCACTTTTTCTTTCTTTTTTTTTTTTGTTTCGTTGTTCTTCTTATTAATTTATTCTAAACGTTGACTAATGCAGCAAGCACACTGTCATCGTCCGGCACGACCCTTCATTCTTGTTACTCCGGGAGCACCTTTAAACATACCACCCATTCCAGCCTTACTGATTGGCATAGCACCACCACCACGTCCAGCAGCTGCTTGCTTCTTTCCAGCTTCAGACTCTGGGTTAGTTACAGTCTCATCAATAGAAAGGATAAGACAAGCTGCTTCTGTGGCACTCTGAATGGCATTTCGCTTCACTAGTGTAGGTTCCCAAACAAAGCGTTCAAATGTATCACAAACACCACCATTGATGATATCCACACCATACCATTTCCCATTGCCTCCAGCAGCAATGTGATGCTTTTGTCGGAGTTTATTAAGAGTATCAGTACTGTCGTGTCCAGCATTCTCAGCCAGTTGACGCGGAATAATTTCCAAAGCCCGAGCAAAGCCACCAATGACCATTTGTTCTTTTCCACGAATAGTACGAGAGTACTCTCGAAGAATTCTGCTGAGTTCCATCTCCACAGCACCACCTCCACCGACAACAGATCCTGTCTTGTAGGCACGTTTCACAATACAAATAGCATCATGAAGAGAACGATCCGCTTCATCAATAAACTGCTGGGCACCACCTCGAAGAATAATAGTAGCCGTTTTGGCGCTCTTGCATCCAGTAAAAAAGTTGTAACGCTCTGTTCCAACTTGACGTTCTTCAAAAAGTGCGCAAGTTCCCAATGCTTCTTCAGGAATATTGTTTACAGTAGATTGAACAGCACCACCTGTTGCCATCGCCACACGAGCCATATCATCTGCACTGACGCGACCAGCACAGAAAATGTCACGGTCAGCAAAGTACTGTGTAGCTAGGTCACCAATGGGAAGTCGAGAAAGGACAATCTTTGCACCTGTGCTAACGCATTTGTCCATTTTATCAAAAATAATTTTCCACTCCGCATCCACAATAGACTGGTACTGTTTAGGGTCCTTTACACGCACCTCAGCGTTATCCTTTTCTGCCTTAAGTTCTAGTTCAACATTTAACAACAGTACCTTTGGATTTTCAAACTTCTTGCGTTGCTGTTCAAAACCAGCATAGGAGAATGTCTTTTTGAACGCCACACCATCGACAAGAATACTTTCACGCATACTTCCACCAGGAACCTTCTTGATACCAATCATATCAAGATTAAAGTCGCTGTCAAGTGCCAAAACAGCATCGGTAGCCATTTTTGCAAAGAACAAACATTCTGTGTTAAGAAGTTTAGAATTCAAGGCAGTTTCTGCGCATCGAATAAGGTTTTTATGGCCCTCTTCAGAATTAGGATCAAATGGAACACATAATTCTCCCAAAGACTTCATCACAACTGACAAGGCAGTACGAAAAGCTTTAATTATAACCTGTGGGGCTATACCATCCTCAACACAAGATTTTGCTTCCTTCAGTAGTTCTCCTGCTAAAACGACCACTGAAGTGGTTCCATCACCAACTTCATGATCTTGAGACATAGCAATATCCACAAGACTTTTAGCTGCAGGGTGGACAATTTCCAAAAGATTCATAATAGTCGCACCATCATTAGAGATATTAACATCTCGTCCATTATGGATCAGTTTGTCCATTCCACAAGGACCAAGTGTAGTTTTCACAGTATCCACAACATTCATACAAGCATTAATGTTGCTGATCAACTGAGGCTTTCCCTGAGAGGTATCAGTTCCTTCCCGAAGTAAAATAAGTTGAGGCTGAATCATTCTGTAAAATGTATGCTTGTCGTATCCTTCCTGTTATACTCTTGTTTTTCCTTTTCTTTGCGTTTTATTTTCTCTTTCTAGAAGAAAAATAACCACAAAAGATAAAAAAAAAAAAGAAAAAACAAAGGGATATAAAGAAAAATATTATTACTGTTTCCTAGTATAATCACATTAAATAAAAAATAAAAATAAAAACATACACACGATTAACTCTGTCTAACCAATACAGAATAATAATAATAATAATAATAATAATAATAATAATAATAATAAAATCATGATGCATTGTTTTGAACTAAATGTCACATGACACACACACACACACTGAGGCAAATTACATAGGAGAAAGAAAAAACAACACAAAGTTCATTACATATCTCACCAGAAAAAAGAAAAACAAAACAAAAGAGGAAAGAGTATTTCTCAGTTCATACAGCATCATCTATGGAGTCTATTTAAGTATTAAAGATTCTGCAGAAGAGAAAAGAAAAACTCAGATTCCAATGGTGCATCTTCTTCTAAATCCGTACAATGCACCGCATTTCGGGCACGGTCAACACCATATTTTGACCGAATTGTGTGAGGAAAAAGTACATGACACACTTCAGGATCATGTGGACCACATACGGCTCGAAGAGCTGAAACTGCATTTTCAGCACAAACTTCTACAACCCAACAAGGTCCACTGGACATTTGTTCTACAAGTCTTTGATACTCTGGTACAACACCATTGTACACTTCAAGAAAATCTTCCGCATCTGCTAGAGATAACGAATACATACCCAAAGCACTGATATAAAATCCTTCATCAATAAGACGTTGTAAAATAGCTCCCTGATAACCACTTGTGATGGCATGAGGTTTAATAACACAAATTGAAGAATTTTTCATTACTGCAGTAGTTTTACCAGGAGCGAAAGCCACACTAGAAATAGTGCTAACATCTGTGGGATCTGATATAACTGCAGTTGTATCTGAAAACATTTCATTTAAAATTTTTGCTTTTTCCAAAGCATCTGATCCTTTAACTTGTAAAATAATACATCGTTTTGAAATACCAAATTGAGAAGATATTTTTTCAGGAAATTCCACAAGTCTAACATTTGATATTCTTAACTCTTTTGCAATCATTTTGTCTATTATGTTCCCAGCATTAGGAAGACCATTTTCAGTTATTATCAAAATGAGCTCACCCATAGCTGTTGAAAAATGACGTCGTGTCATTTCATCTCCATAGTCAACAAGTTTCAAAGATCGTGAAAAAATACTTACGGTGGCTCCAATAAACAGTTCATTAACTGTTAAAGAACTGTATGCACACCTCTTTAGAAATACCCGTTTGGTCTTTAAATCATGCATTTCAACTGTACCATCTTCTGTATAGTAAAGAAGAAGATATTGACGGGTAAGATTCGCTTGGGGATCATAGTAATCTACCTTAAAAGCATAACGAGAAAGAGTTGTCATTATCTCGTAAACCTATTATAACTAAATAATATTTTAATTTAAATCCATTAAAGCAAAAAAAAAAGAAATATATACATAGAAAACCACATTCATATCTCAAGAGCAAATAATTTTAATTAAGAAATTCAATAGCAAAATAATTACAGAAGTGAAAAAAAAAAAACTAATGAAAGTTTTATTCATGTAACTATATATAATATTTTCTTTTTTCCTTAATCGAGAAATACTAAAAAGAAACACACAATTACTCTTTTTCTTTTGTTTACTTAAGAGATTGGTAAACCTTACGTTTAGCAAGGGGTTTAATATCGTCACTCTTCCTACGAGATGCCTCCTTAATAACTTCTCGTTTTTCTGCTTTTTTGCTTCTTCGTTGAACTCTACTGATTGCTTTAGGTGTATTACGTTGGTTAACAATTCTCTTAACCTCCACAAAACCAGAGTATTTATCTTTTAAAGAACGCATATAATTAAAGCTATTCTTTTCAGGACCACGTAAAGGACGAATGGGTTTACTTGCATCTGATTTCCAAACTCGAAGAATAGCATCCTCACTTCCACTATAAATATAATTATTATCAGGAGACCATTTAACAGAAAAAACTTTAGCCATACGTTTTGTGTGATACATTTCAATTGAATTAGATTTCGTAGTTTGATGAATATCCCACATTCGAATAGTAGAATCAAGTGATCCTGCGACAAACATTTTTCCAGTAGGAGAAAAATCAACAGAAGTTATACCATTTATATGTCCTTGAAAAACACTTTTTGGTCTTCCTAGAAGACGCATATCAAATAAATAGCAGTTTCGATCATCACTTCCAGTAACAAAAGTATTAGGGTCCATTGGATTCCATGAAAGACTTGTACAACACATTTCTAAAATAACTTTAGAATGAGCTGCTTGACTTCTTGTATCATATACAAATACACCACGATCTGACATACAACATGCGACCAAATTAGTTTCAACTTTATTAAAACGGCAGCATGAAATTGTATCATCACCCCATGAAAAACGTTGAAGAGGTTGAGTTCTGTTAACATCCCAAAGATGAATAACATCAGAAGATGTTACAAAAAGTGGTTTTTGAAAATGATGATCAATTGAAGAAAAAGGAAATTCACCAAGATATTCAGTTAAAGGTTCAATATTATTTTCTCCAGATGAAAAATCCAAATCCCACATTTTAATTACTTTATCGCGAGAAGCACTAAAACAGGCAACACCATCAGGTGATACAGTAATCCCATCAATGGAATGACGATGTGCATCAATAATTCTTTTTGGACGCTTTGTAAAAACATCCCAAACTATCATTCCTCCGTCAATTGCACCACTGATTACTGTAGATAAACTAGTATAATCTACAGCTATTGATTGAATAGTGTCCTGATGTCCTGAAAGAGCTCCAAGAAATGGTTTAGCAAACATACGATCAAGTTTTGCAGCACGAATAGCACGAGTAAATTCCACTTGTTTTGCCATTGGATTATATTTAGTATCAAAGTTTCGATTTACCCGAGGAACTTCTCCATTTCGGTCTTTTGTCCATTCCAATTCGGATCTACTAATGGTATTTACCTTTACCATTCTGTCAAACTTAAACCTATCTTTGAATGAATATGTTATATTATTTTATATAATATAACATAAAATGTAATATATTATTATAATAATTATTATTATTAACATATTATTATAATTATTATTGTTGTATAACAGAAAAAAAAGGGAAGAAAAATAATCACTTTCAGAATAATAAGATTTTTTTAAACCAGATGTCATCCACTTTTGAAAAAGAAAAAGAAAAAACATAATAATAGTAATATAGAGAATATATCGTTTTTCTTCTTTTTTTTTACAGACAATAAAGGTAAAAGAAAAAAAAAAAAACTTGAGGAAAAAAAAAAGAGGAAAGCGAATTACAATACATACTATCAGATCATATCTTCCGGATTTCCGTGATCTGTAAAAGGGGCAAGCATTTTTGCCACAAATTTTTCGTAATGAATAACTCCATTATCATCAAATCCCTGAATAAGATCACGGAACTCTTCTTCAGTATATTTCTCTCCCATTGTAGTCATAATATGACGAAACTCCGCAACAGAAACTGTTCCATCAAGATCCTTATCAAACACTCGAAAGGCCTCTTTTACTGCTTCCACCGTATCCGTCTTATCTTCATGTTTTGCAACAAGGGCTTCATAAGATGCCATATCCAAATCGGTTACAGTTGTCATGATTTCTTTTATTCTTTCTTCGCTGGGATTCAATCCAGCAGCCCGCAATGCGGTCGGAACAGAAGCTTTTGGTATCTTCCCATCCTTTTGAAGAAGCTCAAAGGCCTCTTTCATTAGTGCAGCGCGAGACATTATTTGCTTTCAAGAAGAGCTATTAGATTATATTTTTTTTTTTTTTTAAAACTTCTAAAATAAAAAAAAAACAATAACATACATAAAAAAGAAAAATAAAGAAAAAGAAAAAGAAAAACAAACATAAAAGTAATTATCTGCAAAACAATACATATATTCCAAAAACAAGAAAAATGAATAAAAATACCCCCACAAAACTATGTTTTGAATTGTTTGTAATACAGAAAACAAGAAACAAAGGGATTTCTTCCTTTTCATTTAAACTTCAGATGTGAAGATTATTCTTTCTGATACCTTTTTAAGGTCAAGCATTACAATAGCTCGACATCCCCAACAATAATCATCGCTAGTGAAAACCACATCCACCACAACGATCTCATAGTTGAGAAAAACCGTTCAATACTTTCAAAGCGTTGGTGTGCACCAAACCAGTTATAATCAGCAAAGTTTGCTGGAATTTGTACCTCTTTCTTTTCCATATCAACAAAATAAGGTCTACCTGGAGGTAAAATGCGTAAACCATGTCCCTTAAGGAACCATCGATATAGAAAAGCAGACTTTAACATACTTTGTAAGAATTGTTGAACATCATCTGGTGACACATAATCAGGAGTTGATTTACGTTTTGGATCATCCCAAAAAGTAGTATCATGATCATTAAATTTAACTTCTGCTCCAACACGAATTTTAACATTTTGAACATCTTCAACTAATTTCGTTTGTTGTTCTTCCATACGAACCTGAAGAGCTTGTAATCGGGGTGCCACTGTATGTAAAAACGTAAGAATTTCCTGAATTGAAGCAGAATCCATTATCTTTACTACCCCAGCTGTCCAATCAACTGTAAAAGCACCACCAACTGCTTTTGTCCTAGAAGATTTATATTTTTCAACAATAATAGGATCACGTTCTTGAAGTACCCAATTCGTAAGAGTTCCCAATTCCACATTTTTTTCACGCGATGGAAAATTCATAACTTCTGTTGAAGAAGGATCCTTTGTTACATGAATAGACAAAAAAGAAAATGCGGAAACATTTTTTAATAAGTTATCATTATCTAGAATGCGTCTTGAAAAACTGGTATAATCAGCATCATCATCCCATGTTACGCGTTTCCACTTCATTCGTTTTGCTAGTTCTTCAGATTCATAGAATTGACTTAGAGATTGGGATCCTGCAGAATCATCTTTTTTTTCTTTAACAACCTGTGTTTCTTTAGATTCTTTTCCTCGGATTTCTCTCATCATATCGCGGAAATCATTAAAATAGGCAATAAATCCTTTTTCCAACGCATATCTTTCTTTACGCAGAACACGTAATGGTTTTTTATTTCCCACGAGCCACTCCAGGATGTCAGCCTGAAAGGCAACACTCCTGGCCGCCATCGTTCAGAAAAATAGGGATAAATAAAAAAAAATAAAGATCTATGAACCTGCCCCTTTGGACTTTTAAAAGAAAGAAAAAAAGAGAAAACAAATAAAAATATATTTATAACAAAAAAGGAAAGATAGGCAACCACAACTAGAAAAAGATAGAATAACTAAAATAAGAAAAAATAAATAAAAAACAATAACAATAACCACTAAATATAATTTCTGGTGTTTCTTTTTTTTTTTTTTTTTCTTTTTTCAAACCAAACCCAAACGACACCCACGACCACAAGAATAGCGAAACCAAAAAACAATCACAACCCCATCACAATAAAAAAAGAAATTGACCAGGAAACTAGCCCGAAACGGCCGGCAACATTTGGCGAACGGAGATCTGCAACGGATTAACGCCAGCGCCGCACCAGAAAAGAAAGAAGTGACCAAATTAAAAAAAAAAGACATATCCCGCCGCCGTCCGCCGCCAGAAGGCCGGAGAGGGAGACAGACGCAAATTTGCTCCTTCGCCCCGCCCCCTAAGCACCAAAAGTAAAAGCCGCCCGCCGCGCCGCGACGCCCGAGTTAACTTGCAGTGCCGGGGAGGTGGGGGCGGCGTCCTCCAAACCCCCTCCTTCCCTCGTCAACGGGCGGCTGGTTGACTGTGGCGCCGGTCGCCCGCCGTTTTCTTTGTTGGGGGTGTGGGGCCGCTTCTCTCTCTCTCTCTCTCTCTCCGCCGTTCGTTTTTTGCGGCGGGTCTCCGCGTGTTTTCTCGTGGGTTTGTATATTTTTCTTTTTTTGTGGTTCGTGTGCCGGGCGGGTGGTTTGGAAAAGTTTCTCGGTGGTGGACGTCGTTATTATTATTATTATTATTATTATTATTATTATTATTATTATTATTATTATTATTATTATTATTTGATGTATATATATATTGGTTTTTGTCTTCTTTCTACGGGTCTTTTCTTTTTTTTTTTGTTATTTTTTTTTTTATTTGCTTTTTATTTTTATTTTATTTTTTTTCTTAAATCTTTCTTGATAGTTGTCCATACCTAGGTGTTTTAAGGGAAGAAAAAAAAAAAAGTGGCTTAATCTCAGAATGGGGATAGAAAAGAAAATAGCCTCATTAGAAACCTTTTTGAACCGTGTTGATTTCCCACTACAACCTCATAGCTATGAAGCTAAAGTTGTTTTGGATGTCTTATTTGAAAAGGGTGGGTTTCTTAATTTGTGTGATTTGTTGTTTGGAGATTTTAACAGTAAACGACCATCAGAGAAAGAAGAAGAATTATCTTGGATGGATATAGCAAATGCAAAACCAAATGGTAAAATAGCTTCATCAATTTTTCGTCTTGTAGCTCCTGGTGGACGGTTATGTCATTTATTAGAAGCAGTATCTGTGCCTGCAAAAGATTTTTCAACACGGTTAAAGAGTTCTTCGAAAGGAGATGTTGTTCAAGAATCTGATGTTAATACTCAATCTTATAAATTTTTTATGCCTCTATCAACGTTGTATACATCATCATATGAACTTATTGGAGAAACTGCTACTACAAATTGGTATTCTCTTTCTCGTGCTCGTTGTCCTTCTATGTTTCTTATACCATTTTGGAGTCCTCCTCTTGTAACACGACCTGATTCTGATAGTAGAGAAGTATTAACATCTCTTCCATGTTATCCACTTCCTTATTTTGTTTTACGAATGCTTCTTTATGTTGTTCGTAGAGCTGAAAGATATGGTGTTAGAATGGTTCGAAATCCTAATTTAGATACTTTGGGTAAAAAAATTGGGGCATTATTAAACTATGTTAAAAATAGTTTATGGAATTCTTATTCTGTAGAACTTCCTTTTTATCATCGTCTTTTAACTGCCTATATACAATATTTTATATCTACCTCATTTATAAAACGTACTGGATTAAATCGATCATTGGAAGAAGTTCAATGGTTTACATCTGATGTTACTGCTGCATTACTTTTATCTGCACCAAGTCTTTTATGGATGAGAAATGTCCGTCACCCAGGACTTGAAATTTATCGAATTCCTTGTAAAGATGTGGTTACTGCAGCACTTGTTTTTCGTTTAATCCCTTTTTTAACAGAATGTTTTCTTGCCCTTACTCGAATGGGACAAGAAAATTTATTTGCAAATGATTCAGCATATTCTCTTATAGTTCGTAAAGACTTTTTCAACGATTCTATAGCTTTAGCTTCATGGGATATTCTTTCTCTAGATCTTTATTTTTACCGTAATACTTTGATTGCATTACGACAATCATTAATTTCTTTGGATAGTTTTGGAGAATGCAAAAGAGAGCACTATAATAATACTCTTGAACTTTGGTATACAATGATAAAACCAATTGAAAATATGAAAGAAATTAGTAAAACGTACGTTATTCATCATTATGAAGTGTATAGTTTTTTGTTAATTGATGTTTTTTCTATGGTTTTAAAAGGTAATTTTTTGGCTTTTATTGATGTTGTGGGTGCAGCTATGTGGTCAAAATGTATTGAAGTCTTTTCAATGCCATCTTTACAGGCAGTTTTTAGTGAGATTAGCAATTATGAAATTAATTCTCGATCTAATTTAATAGATGCGATTACCCAGTATTTTACTTTAAATTGGACTAATGAAGATGGATCAGTTCATGTCCTTAGATTATTTGGTGATAAAACTCTTGATTTTGCTGCAGAAGTATACTTAGCTATAGAATCACGATTAAAATTGGGTAATTTAGATACTTTAATAATCGCTCACTTGGAAGATTCTTTAGAATTTCTTGAAAAGGCTTTTAATGGTTTATCTTCTGTAGTTCAAAAACTACGTGATATTCGTGCAACCACTCATCGACCAAGTGTAAATAGCCAACTTGAATCTTCCTTGGTTACGAAAAAAGTAGAACATAATACAAAAACAGAAAAAGAATTATATTTTAAGGGGATTCAACGTTCTTGTGGTTTTACTGGTCCATTGGGTCTTAAGTTTGCTACAGAAAATAATGTTTTTCCAGGTGGTCATAACCCTGTTATGGAATTAAGTTATAGTAATGAATTTCCTTTTTTACTTTCCTTAACAAGGTTTATAGATTCATTTATTGAAAAAATACTTGAAGTCTATTACTCTGCTTGGATACCAACTTGTAGTAGAGGTCACAATATGTGGTTACTTTCTTCAAGTAAGTATGGTTGTATAAATCATCCTCGACAATCTGCCGTATGGGAATGCTTATTATGTGAAGAAGTTTATGGAGTTTGTTGTCGTTCTAATCCTCATGGTAAAAATGGAGAAGAATTAATTCGTGTAGAAAATATTCAATGTGGAAATAATCCTTTTTGTCAGGAATGTTTTTCACTTTTTCAGTCGAATAATGTTGTTTATTCTTCACCTTCTTCTAAAGATATGTTTTGTTCAGATTGTTCATCGCGTCCATTTAAAAAAAGAAGTTCTCGTTTCCTTGCAGCTTATGCTACATGGGCGATATTTTTCTTTATTGCCCTACTTGTAGTTTTTATTTATAGCATGTAAAAGGAAAAGAAAATAAAGATCTGCAGATTTAGTTTTTTTTTTTTTTTCTGTTGATAAGTTATTTTGATAATAATAATTATTTTTTTTTTTTATTGTTTAAAGACTGAGTTTAACCTGTAACAATTGTATGAATATATCTTTTTTTATTTTATTTTCTTTTCTTTATTCTTTTTTTTTTTTCTTTTTCAAATATTATCATATATGTATGCATATTATTTGTAGTCTGTGTCAGAAGAGAGAAAAAAGTATGATCGAGGAGGAATTACCCCTTTTTCGTGCTAAACTTCCAGGCCTTCATACTGCTGGTGCAACGGGGCCTGGTGTTGGTCCAGGATCTTATGATATAAGTGAGAAGTCTCCAATATCAAATCATGGAATGGCACCTTTTGGATCAACCGGTAATAGGTTTTTTTCGTCTCAATCCGTTGTGACACCAGGGGCAGGGACTTATAATGTTGTTACAGAAAATCGAAGAAAAGGAGATGTTACAGTTGTTCCTTTTTGTTCTGCAGTGGATAGGTTTTTTGGTCCTAAAGCTGATGATGTTCCTGGACCAGGAACATACTCACATGATGGAAATCGTTGGGGTACTGTTGGTCGATCTCATACTCTTGGATTATCAAGTCTTAATGGTCCAGCTGAAGTAAGTAATACAGGTCCAGGTTCATATAATCCAAACTATAATGCTGCTAAACGTGCAAATCCACGAGTTGCAAAGTTTACAGGCTACAGTGCACGTGATTCTCCTCGTTTTAACGATATACCAGGTCCTGGTCATTATGATATTCCTTCTTCAACTGGAACACTATATAGTAAAAAACCAACTTCTTGTTTTGCTACTAAAACTGTTCGATCAACAATTGGAAATAAAAGTATAACACCTGGACCAGGTGCTTATGATTTGCAATCTTCTTTTCAATCTTTGCCACAATATCGAGCTATTAATCCCGAAATTTTTTCTGCTTTTGGTTCTTCAGCAAATCGTTATGCACCCCTTTCACATGATGGAGGTCCTGGTCCTGGTGCTTATACTGGAGAAATTGCACCACGACGACCACATATGATGTTTAAAGGAAAAGGAACCTCTTCCTTTCTTTCAGGAACAGATCGTGACACACAATCTTCAGGATCTAATCTTGGTCCAGGAATTTACGAAGGAGAAAAACCTGCCAAACATAAGAAATACATGTTATCTACTATTCCCTTTCGTTCTAGTTCTCCACGTTTTCCTTTTTCGAAATCTGCTGAGATAAGTGAAATATATGAACCTCGTCGTAATGTGGTACGTGTACCTCGTCGAATTCACCCTGTACGGTTACGAGATGAAATATTTGATACTACACCAAGGAGTCCTTCAAATATTTCACCAGATCGCGTATATGATGTAAAATACGAGTGGACTAAGCCAACATGTACGAGCAAAGCATATTTGGGAACTGCACCTCGTTTCACAAAATCAGATGTCAATGCCTCATTTCCAGGACCAGGACAGTATGAAACCGATAAAACCTCTTTCGGTGGGGGACGATCCCCAAATGGTACTTTTGGTAATGATGGAAGATTTAAGAATGTGGCTGGAGGTACCCCTGGTCCAGGATATTATTGGTATGATAGTACTTTATTAAAGAAGACACTTAATTGTACTATTGGATCTTCAGAAGACATGTAGAAATAGACCTTTTTTATTATTATTATTGTCAAAATTGTTTGCTTTAAAGAATGATTTTTTTTTTTTTTT